TAGGGAAATGCAAGTATGTATACAAGATAATACATGTAGTTTGTTTAAGGGAATTAGGACAGTTTACGATGATGGTAAATTCACTATGATATGTACATTGTTTTATTTAATATAAGGTTAATTATATTTTGAAGTTAAAGTGAAGAGCTTTAATTTTATCATCTATTTACATAGTTATGTATTTGTACATGTCTAAACACATACATATAAATGTACATTAAGATTCATTTTTAAAAGTCTCTAAATAAAAATGATAATTAAAAAATTAAAGTTATACTGTAAATGTAAAATTTTTAGTAAAAATTTTTTGACTTGGGTTATAATACCTACAATGTTTTTTAAAAACAAAGAACTATGTTGTAACTTTTTGACAAAGTTGGCTCAATGAATTTATTCATAAAGAAAAATGTTTATAAATCCTTTACTGCACATTGTTACATGGTTGGTACACACAAAAAAATTAGAATTTGTGTTTTTCTTTTTGTAAAATGATTTTTATTCTGTGACCAGAGACTTCTTTTTATCAACAAATTATTCTGCTAACTATACATCCGGTATACTCTTGATTCATTTTAACAAAAAGTTTCTTATTTTTTTAAAATGTTAAGTTTCTAAATAGCCACATTTACTTTTTGCTGTGATTTTTAAAAAATTGTCTGTAATAACTTCTTATGACATTTAAAAATCGTGCCATGTTCATATTTTGTCTCCTCTGACAGTTCTTCCTGACTTTTCCTTTCCCAAATTCAGAATAATAAAATGGTTAAAATGTCTTTCATGCCTGAGCTATCTTTGGGTTTCCTTGAGTGGCCACCAGTCAACAAAGATTTGCTTCTTTATCTTAACAAGAATGAAAGATAAAATTAGATTTTAGCATTCTCCAAGTTTTAACCAACTCAAAATTGTGACAGCTCTTGTTTACCAAATTTAGGATAAAAACCACAAAACAGACAAAAGAGAAGTTCCATCTCCCTGAGTTAATTATGTATATATAAACTATGTTAATATAAAAACATTTCAACAATTTTGTACTTTTCAAATTAAAAAAAACATTCATGTCCAAGCAAAAAGACTGGTGCACTGTCTACATGGTGATTTTGTTTCAAGGTTTCAATATGCTATCAGTGACAATCATAGTACACAGTATGATATAAACCCAGAGCTACCAGTTTGCCAGTGTCTTCAGTTCTTACCCCTAAGTAATCCCTCACTACATGCTCAGAAATTGTTCTTCCCTCTTCCACTGATTACTACATTAGTGGGAGCTGTTCAGTCTCAGCACCTTAGCAGGGGTGAATGGCTGCAATCTTAAACCAACATCCGAGGGGAAATTTTAAAGGCCTGACTGATGATGTTTCTCGTGCACGTCCTTGTCTACAACTGAATTCTGACAAAACTACAGAGACAGTCTGAAGCCAAAGCCTCAGGGCCCCTTTACACTCCTCCAAATGGAGCGTATTCCATTTTCCCTAACAACAGGAATGTACATTTTGGTTGTATGTCTATTCAACAACGGATCAAAGAGTTCTCTGGTCAGAAAGTCACAGCTGTTTGGGGGCCAGCCCCGCAGCCTAGCAGTTAAGTAAGTTCAGCACGCTCTGCTTCGGCTGCCCGGGTTCGGTTCCCAGGTGCAGACCTACACCACTCAGTCGCGGCCATACTGTGGCAGCAACCCACATACAAAATAGAGGAAGACTGGCACAGATGTTAGCTCAAGGCGAATCTTCCTCAGCAAAAA